CTCTATTTGGCAGCGACTTGTTCGCACCGCTCTGGGACCTCGCCCCTCGCCCGTCCTCCTCGCTCTCCAACCCCCCCTGCTGCTCCTCTTCCTCCCGGAGGAGCCAGAGAGGGAGGAGGAGGAGGAGGAGGAGGAGGAGGAGGAGGAGGAGGAGGAGGAGGAGGAGGAGGAGGAGGAGGAGGAGGAGGAGGAGCAGGAGCAGGAGGAGGAGGAGGAGGAGGAAGAGGAGCAGCAGCAGCAGCAGCAGCAGCAGCAGCAGCAGCAGCAGCAGCAGCACCAGCAGCACCAGCAGCAGCAACAGCAGCAGCAGCAGCAGCAGGACGACGAAGGAGGAGGAGGATGAGAAGGGGGAGGAGGAAGGTGAGGAGGCGGAGGAGGAGGCGGAAGAGCAGGAGGAGGCCTTCTCCCCCCTCCTCTGGAGGGCAGAGGCTTCCAGAGACCGCCGGAGGCCCGAGAGGGGCCAGCTTGTCCAAAAACCTCGGTCCTCCTCCCCCCTCCTGTTGCTGCCTGCCTGCTTCGCCCACCGCTCCCTTTCCTCCCCGCCCCTTCCTCCTCCTCCTCCTCCTCCTCCTCCTCCTCCTCCTCCTCCTCCTCCTCCTCCTCACCTCCTTCTCCTCATCCTTCTCCTTCTCCTTCTCCTTCTCCTTCTCCTCCTTCTCCTCCTCGCCCCTTCCTCCTCCTCCTACTCCTCTCCTCGCCCCTTCTTCCTCCTCCTCCTCCTGCTTCTCCTCCTCCTCCTCTGCTCTCCTCCTACTCTCCTCCTCGCCCTGCTCCTTCTCCTCCTCCTCCTGCTCCTCCTCCTCCTCCTCCTCCTCCTCCTTCTGCTCGCCCCTTCCTCCTCCTCCTCCTCCTCCTCCTCCTCCTCCTCCTCCTCCTCCTCCCTCCTCCTCCTCCTCCTCCTCCTCCTCTCCTCCTCCTCCTCCTCCTCCTCTCCTCTCTCTCTCTCCTGTCTCCTCTCTTCTCTCTCCTCTCTCCTCTCCCTCCTCCTCCATGTTCCTCCTCGCCCCTTCCTCCTCCTCCTCCTCCTCCTCCTCCTCCTCCTCCTCCTCCTCCTCTTCCTCCTCCTCTTCCTTCTCCTCCTCATCCTCCTCCTCCTCCTCCTCCTCCTCCTCCTCCTCCTCCTCCTCCTCCTCCTCCCCTTCTCCTCCGCCGCCTCCTCCCTCCGCCTCCTCCTCCTCCTCGGCCTCCTCCTCCTCCTCCTCCTCCTCCTCCACCTCCTCCTGCTCCTCCTCCTCCTGCTCCTCCTCCTCGCCCCTTCCTCTTCCTCCTCCTCCTCTCCTCCTCCTCCTGCTCCTCGCCACTTCCTCCTCCTCCTCCTCCTCTTCCTCTTCCTCCTCCTTCTCCTCCTCGCCGCTTCCTCCTCCTCGCCCCGTCCTCCTCTTGCCCCTCGCTCCAGCCTCCTCCCCCTCAACCCTCGATGCCTGCCCCGCCTCCCCTCGAGCCGCCGCGGCGGCGGGCGCCTCCAGGCCTGGCAGAGGCTCGACGCGAGCGCCGCGCCGCTCTTCAAGGCCCGCCTGGGCTCCCTGCCAGAGCCCGCCGCTGCTCGAGAGGTTGAAGTACGCGACTGCAGGTTTTCCCCTATCCTCGGCCTCCGGGGGTCCTTAGCGGCCCTCGGGACCGTCCAAGAACGACTCAGGATGAGAAGCCGGGGAATGGGTCGAGAACTTTGGGTGTTGGCGTCATGAAACAAATCATGACGCCGGGGGTCTGGGTCTGAGATCCGACGGCGCGAAGAAATTGGAAATCCCGACCGGAGCCCTGGACCCTATCTTCCCACTGCATTGTTCGAGCCGGATGCACGGGCTGAAACGCCTGGAGAAAACAATTGCAACGCCCAGATCTCAAGGTCCCCCTTCCCTTGGATGACCACGGGGGTTGCTGAGGGGATAGGGAGGTTATTAGTACGTGGATGCTACAAGTGGCTTGTACATGTCCTGGCATCGCTTATAAGTGGGCTTAAGATCTGAACTAAGTGGGCTGCGTCCACTTGGCGGAATGGTCGAGCTCTCCCAAGACACTAGGGGCGCTTGTAACCCACTCATGAGTTAGTTTACGCCAAATCTGACCCGCCCTTGCGTTCACGTGTAACCCCCCTCATCCGCGTACAAGGGCGTTCGGTCGGGTCTGTTCGGTCGGCTTCGTTGCCGCGTCGCTGCGCCCTCCTAGGTTGCTTGCGGCCTGGTGGTCTCGTTCGGTTTCGGTTTCGTTGTTTGTTCGATCGGTTTTCTGTTTTGCTGTCGCCGTGGACGGCTTTGGGGGCAGCATTCGGGGGACGAGGCTCGAGTTGGAGCCGGCTGGGGGTCTGACGTAGCCCAGCACTGGTTCAGGCAAGAAGAAGCAGGGGCGAGTCCGAGGTGCTGGGTTCGAGAAGTTGCGTTTTGCATTTTTCTGTCTCCAGGGGCCACTTTCGGTCCCAAGGACAGTCAAAAACGGAACCGAGGTGAACTACTCCGACGGAGGGGCCCCACATGACAATAGATTTTGCTTGCCCCTCGTTTTT